TAGTGTGCCATGTGCTGTTAAACACTAGCCTAGAGCGCCGTCTGCTGTTAAAAACTAGCCTAGAGCGGCGATTGCTGTAAAAAAAATAGCCTAGAGCACCATTTGCTAATAAAAACTAGCCTAGAGCGCCATCTGCTGTTAAAAACTAGCCTAGAGCACCATCTGCTGTTGAAAACTAGCCGAGTCGAGAATGCTATCATCTGCTGTTAAAACCCAGCCTAGAGCACCTGCTGCTGTTAAAAACTAGCTTAGTATTCCTTCTGCTGTTAAAAACTAGTCTACAGCGCCATCTGCTGTTACAAACTAGCCTAGAGCACCGTCTGCTGTTAAAAACTAGTCTACAGCGCCATCTGCTGTTACAAACTAGCCTAGAGCACTGTCTGCTGTTAAAAACTAGCCTAGTGTGCCATCTGCTGTTAAAAACTAGCCTAAGCCGCAGACTGGTGTTAAAAATTAGCCTAGAGCGCCATCTACTGTTTAAAACTTGCATGGAGAGCCATCTGTTCTATAAACTAGCCTAGAGCGCCATCTATTGTTAAAAAACTAGCATTGAGCTCCATCTACAGTTAGAAACTAGCCTAAAGCGCCTGTTGCTGTTACAAACTAGCCTAGAGGAATCGTAAAAATTAAGCTCAGAATTGATTCAAGAGAGAATAGTGACGCAGAATTTAATCCTTTAACAATTTTCCACCACAGCTCTAAATTTTGATAAAACAAGCAGCACGAGGTAACAGGACTCACCCTGAAACTGGTTATGCACCGCCTGGTAAACATTATAAATGCCCTTTATTTGATTGCGATATGTCGGGCAGTTGCCATCATCGAAATCAACCTGTTATCAGAAAACCAAACATTTTTTTCACCATTTAAATTCAGTGATGCCAAACTGCTTATGAATGCACATACATCATTTCTGTATCCAGTGCATTTTAGCATGCAGCATAAATCAAAGGGATAGTTCACCCACTTTTTTATTTATTTATTTTTGGCATCATTTACTTACCCCTGAATAAATGATATTAAAATTGTAGTTTTCTGGTGAACTGTCACCACCTAAATAGTAAAAGAGAGTCCTACCTGTAACCCTTGCGCAGTAGATTTCAGCCCCATTATAAGGCGTTGTGTGTCGCAGGGTGAAAGATCACCAATATCCACATGCCTGCAGTGTAATCTATGAGGAACGGGGCTCACTCTCCAGCTGGGGTCATTTCGGATGTGGGCCGTGTCCTGCAGAAATCCTGGCAGCTCTCCAGTCAGATCCAACTGCACTTTCCGGAGCACTCGCAAGTTCAATACCTTTCAAAAGAGAGGAGATTTTATTGATTAACACTCATCCAGATATATAACAAACACTGATGAGAGACTGTCTTTTAAACAGAATTACAGGCTGTCAATTCTATTAGAATTTTATCAAGTTTTAAAAACACAATATAGTCAAGTAATGTGTCTACTTTCATTTTTCAAACATGTTTTGTGAAAACAATCGGTCAAAAATATTGGTGAAATAATGTTTCATCATTCAGTTGGTAAATATTCATTCATTTATTTTCTTTTTAACTTAGTCCCTTTATTAATCAGGGTCGCCACAGCGGAATGAATCACCAACTTATCCAGCATATGTTTTACGCAGCGGATGTTCTTCCCGCTGCAACCCAACACTGGAAAACACCCACACACTCCCATACACTACAGCCAATTTAGCTTATTCAATTCACCTATACCACATGTCTTTGGACTGTAGGGGAAAAGGGAGCACCCAGAGGAAACCCACGCCAACACGGGGAGAACATGCAAACTTCACACAGAAATGCTAACTGACCCAGCCGGGACTCAAGCCAGCAACCTTCTTGCTGTGAGGCGATTGTGCTACCCCCTGCGCCACCATGCTGCCCTTAACTTATTTAAATTATTAAAATTATAATGCCCTTGGATTATATACAGTATATAAATAAACTCCACATTTCTGTGCAAATATGCAGTGTATTTACACATATACAGGACAGACAGATAGACAGATAGATAGATAGATAGATAGATAGATAGATAGATAGATAGATAGATAGATAGATAGATAGATAGATAGATAGACGGATGGATGGAAATTTAAAGAATTAAAAGAGTTTAATTTCTATTTTCTATGCATTATCATTTATAGGTATTTTAAGTACTACTGAATCAGGTAATTTAATTACTTGTTGATTAATTACTTCATACATATTAATTAAATATGTATTGTATAAATTAAATATGTATTAAAAATCAAAATACAACTTTAATGATGTAGTTAGCTATTATTAATTACTTTTTTTTTAAACAACAAACCCCAACAATAGTCATAAATACACTCACCGGCCACTTTATTAGGTACACATTACTAGTAACAGGCTTGACCCCCTTTTTGCATTCAGAACTGCCTTAATCCTTCATGGCACAGGCTCAATAAGGCACTTTAAATATTCCTATGAGATTTTGGTCCATATTGACATGATATCATCATGCAGTTGCTGCAGATTTGTTGGCTGCACATCCATGATGCAAATCTTCTGTTACACGACATCCCAAAAGTGCTTTGTTGGATTGAGCTCTGGTGACTGTGGAGGCCATTTGAGTACAGTGAACTCAATGTCATGTTAAAAAAAAAGAGTCTGATATTTTCTTTTTCAGACTATTCTTTGTAATCCCTAGAGATGGTTGTGAGTGAAAATCCCAGTAGATCAGCAGTTTCTGAAATACTCAGACCAGACTAACTAGCATGCCACGTTCAAAGTCACTTAAATCTACTTTCTTCCACATTCTGATGCTTGAACTGCAGCAGATAGTCTTGACCATGTCTACATGCCTAAATGCATTGAGTTGTTACCATGTGATTGGCTATTTATAAATTTGCATTACCGAGCAGTTGGACAGGTGTACCTAATAAAGTGGCCGGTCAGTGTATCTTATCAGACCGTTCTTCTTAATATGACTGACAAGATTTTTGTCATATAAAGTATTGTTACACACTTAGTGACAAACTAGTTCAAGCGGGTTCACAATACCTTGTCAACCTCTGACTGGAAGGCAGAAATGAGTTCAGACAGAAATTGCAGAGCATCAGAAGTAAAAAGGGTTTGAAACTCTCTCTCCAGTCCTGAAGGAGGCGTTTCCACCTCAAGACCTTGAAGTACCTGTGTAACAACACATTAAATCTGCATGACTTCCAGAACGGTTTCAGCAAACTAAAATTCTGCACATTAGGATTCACTGACAAACACATAAAGTTAACGGCACACTTACAAAAGTACCACAGCGAAAATATCTTAATGTGTAAAAGTAAAGTTACAGTATGAAAAAGCCTATTAATAAGTGGTTTAATACAGGTTTAAAGCAGTACAAACTTACCAACATATCTGCAGTCGTTCAGTAAATAGAGAATTGGACTTTGATTCGTGTCATTGCACCGTTTGTTTATTTCTTGCGTGAACGAATCGGTCTGTTTGAACAAATCTTTTAAGCGAATGAATCAGTGAATCTTATGGCGCATTCCTGCAATGTCAAAATAACACGCGTCGATAATATAATATAATATAATATAATATAATATAATATAATATAATATAATATAATATAATATAATATAATAAATATAATATAATATAATATAATATAATAAATATAATATAATAAATATAATATAATATAATATAATATAATATAATATAATATAATATAATATAATATAATAAATATAATATAATATAATATAATATAATATAATATAATATAATATAATATAACGTAATGTAATGTAATATGATATAAATGCCGAAGCATGCTAATAGGACTTTTAATTTGCCAGTAATCTGGGTTAAGCGCTTCAGGTGAAAAATCTGCGCGTTAAAGGTCTGTTTTCTTTAAAAATTAGCGATATTCACTGGCTGAGTGATTTTCGATATAAAGTGGGTCTCAGATTGTACAAGAAGCACCGCAGTAAATCACATTTTTTCCCGCAATGTCTTTATAATGTGAGCATTTATTTTAACCCAGTATATTCAATGGAGCTTCTGCGCTAGCCTGCCGATTCTGACGGGCGAGTGCGAGTAAAAGGCCTTTTGTCTCGTTTTACGCTTGAACAACTAAATAAATGCCAATGTTTATTTAACTGAATGTATTTTAATTACATTACAACATCAATGCTGTAAAAGGAACCATATAATAAAAAAATAAAAAATAAAAAAAAATAAAAACTCACAATAACAGGTCACCGGAAGTTTATAAGTTTGGGAACAACACTAGCTCGGCATGTACCCAATTATATTCATCTGTCTCCATATTCTACTGCATCCCAGAATATTACACAGCACCAAAATGTAAAAACATATATTTAATGTTTTCTAATGTTTTTCTAATGTTATATTTGTTTTTGTCCACAGCAGACCGCAATTCGCCGTGACGCAGATTTCCGAGTTTGTGTGCTCCAATTAGGTGAGCCCTCTTCAGCGCTCACCATGACAACGAGACTTACAGCAGTGACGTGTCTTGTAAAAATTTGCATCTGCATTCCTATAAAGCTCGTCGGTTCTTTCTCAGCGTTGTCAGTTTGCTTGGTGTTGCTGTTTGTACTTGACCAAGGTGAGTTCAATACCGACGGTACGAGTTTCACTCTGGCCCGTCTGTGCTGTAGTTCCTTGCGGTTTGCGTACATAAATGCAATATCGCGAATAAAATTGCGTGTTTGTTGCTCGAAATGTGTCGCCGAGCAACATCCAGTGAACACTGGCACGGCCTGGCGCCCGGTTTTCTCGTGCACTCCCTAGGGCGAGGCGCCCTTTGAGCTCTAGGCAGGGAACAAACAAGCCCCGAGGACCCTCAGGGAAACACGGGAGGCCGGTAGTGGGACCTCGCTGCGAGGGTTATGGTGGGTGGGTGGGATGTAGCGAGGCCCACTCATCGTCTATTTTTAACTATAGTTTCAAACTTTAGTTTAGTTTGAAATAGAAACCATGGTAACTGTAATGATTTAAATTTATGCAAAGAGCGTAGAATGACCAAGAGGCGACACTCAATAGAACGTGCTATTGCAACAGCAGCGGCCAGCAACAGCCCCGGATTCCGGGGAAGTAAAAGCGATCCGCCGTCTGTTAAATCTCATTGCTGTCTCGATGGCAAGCAGCTGCTTTTGTTTTTAATTAATTTATTTAAAAAGCGCGTTAAAGCTATCAAAAGTGTTGATAGTGTTGATAAAATGGCTGCCGCGCCATCTAGTGTCTGTTTCCCAAATTGCACTAGAGTGACGCCTCTTGGTGATTCTATGCCCTTTGCTCTATGTCTGACTGTTGTAATGTTTTGCTTTGTTTTTCAGCGGAGTTGTTGAGCAAAGAAGGACAACCATTGAAGATAACAATTGAAGACAACCGCTGGTTATATTAACGAGCGCGTTAATAATATAATTAATAATATGATGTTATGATATTATTATCATAACATTATAATGTTTCCGGGCAGTTTCTGAACATTTATCTTGTTTAGATAAGTTTGCAGGTCAAACAAAATAAACTATACTCTTTCTTAACACCTGTCTCGTGTTTTATTTGTCCTCTACAGCAATACACTGTCATATAAGTCTGTTGAATGCATTTGTATGCAACATGGTTTGACAATACAGTAGTCTAACAAATAAATAGTTGTTATAAATGTACCTTCATTAGTCAACATTTGGTGTCGGTAATAAAAAGTTAATCAAATATGTCCTAAGACATAATGGTAATGTTATAGTTGTTACATAACTGCATTTATTTTTATTCTGTATGTTTAAAACCAGCAGATTTACTATATATTTAACATGTCATGAACTTACTGTTATTCAAAAATTTGCTTAATAAAATGTCCTAAGACATGAATGGGTGTTTTGGTTTTATATCAACCTACTGTAGGTTGTAGGTTGAATACAGCAGATATAGGCTACCTATATCATAATATTGGTAGTCAGAGTTTTTAATGACCCAAATCAAGTGAAACGTGAGTACTTTTAGCATGCAAAAGTCAAAATTGAGTATATAAAATACAGTTTCAAACAACAAAATTTTGTCTTGTGAAAATGACTAGTATGGTGGTGAGAAAAAAAGTTAATGTCAAGTTATATATATAAATGTATAATATGATATGATATAATATAAAAATATCTTAAGTTTGTGTGTTTTCAGTTTTGTTACATTGTTTTGTTTTTTTCGCCCAAACTAAAACAGATATGGCCTCTGAATGGTCACAACATAGATCAAGTAGAGTTATAGTTAAAAAATAAAAGGCTAGAGTGGATATTTAAAAAGATTATACATGAAATTAAGTAATTTGTTTATTTGTTATGGTCATATATGACACATTGTAGGAGTTCTTAGTTGTCAATGAAAATATGTATTAAGTTTCTGTGTGTTTTCACATTCACTAGTGTGTTTTGTTACATTCATTTGTGTATATTTATAGATTTTCCCCAAACCAAAACCGATAAGGTCTCTGAATGGTCACAACATAAAGTAGATTTATAGTAAAAAAAAAAAAAAAAAAAAAAACTACTGGGGTGTGGGGAGGGGGATTTAAAAAGATTATACATTAATTATTATAATCTATAAATTAATTAATTTATTTATTTATTATTGTTGTTGTTGTTATTATTATTATCATAAAAGACAAAATGTAGGAATTATTAGTAGTCAATAAAAATGTTTATTAAGTTTGTGTGTCTTCAGTTTCCATTTTGTTACATTGTGTTTATATATATTTCCCCAAAATAAAACCGATAAGGTTTAGCGTTTTCTTATTCCACCAACATCCGTGTAATTTATTTAATTTTTAATCTGCCCGCACTATTTATATATTTATTTATGCAGGAATATGTAGGTTTATATATATATATATATATATATATATATATATATATATATATATATATATATATATATATATATATTTATATATATATATATATATATATATATGTTCATTTATTTACATATTTATTTATAGTTTTTGTTTCTGCAGGAATTTGTATTTTTTTATATACATTTATTTATTTATTTGCATTTTTATTAATTGTTTTAATTCTGAAAGAATTTGTGAATTAATTAATTATTTTGTTTCTTTATTTGCATATTTATTTATTTATTTATTTATTGTTTTTGCAGGTTTCGTCCTCCATAGATAAGGTCTCTGAATGGTCACAATATAGATAATAAAGTATATTTATAGTTAAAGAAAATAAAAGGCCAAAAGGGAAATTAAAAAAGATTATACAATGAAATTTATTTATTTATTTATTTATTTATTTATTTATTTATTTATTTATTTATTTATTTATTAATAATAATAATAATAATTATTATTATTATGATGATAAAAGACACAATGTAGGAATTATGAGTAGTCAATAAAAATATTTAAGTTTGTTTGTGTTTTCAGTTTCCGTTTTTACATTGTGTATATATATTTTCCCCCAAACCAAAACAGAAATAGATTTAACAAAATGTTAACATAGATTTATAGTAATAATTAGAGGGTATTGAAAAAGATTATGCATTTTAATTAATTATAGAATTTATTATTATTGTTATTATTACTATTATTATTATTATTTAGTTGTGTGGCCATTAAACGCAAAGTTTTAGTAGGACTTTTGTGATTCTCTGACTTCTCGCGAGATTACAGTTATGCCAACGTCGTACGTGGCTACAAACCCAAACAGTGAAAGAGGACTCCGCCAGGGATGCATCAGCAGAATGCCGAGTTAACTGGTCAGCACGTCAAATAAATAAACTCACCGACGTTTAACAAGAGTACTGCAGGTGAAGGAATAAATGTTAAGTCAAAACTGCGATTGAATCTTTTGACAGACTCGTCGGCATTACTACATTTGCACGGTGTCAGCCTGTAATAGCCGTCTATCCTATAGTGTCTATATAGGAGGGCAGCATGGCAGATATCGAGTCCTCTTTTGAGTTCAGCTCTTCTCTGACCAGCTCGTCACTGCCTCCTCCTCGGACACGCATCTTTAAAATCATCGTGATTGGAGACTCAGGGGTTGGCAAGACTTGCCTCACCTATAGATTCTGTGCAGGCAAGTTTCCAGACAAGACTGAGGCCACTATTGGGGTGGATTTCCGAGAGAAGGTTATTGAGATAGATGGCGAGAAAATCAAGGTAAGGATGCTTGTCGTTTTGGGTTAAGACTGGCGTATGGCAATAGGGGTGAAGTTGATATTATTTTCACACATTTGTTCATTTTTGTACTGTGACCGTTTCTGACAGGCTACTTTAAATATTGTTTCTGACTTCAGAACAACGTCAGCATTATTTAATTGACTAAACAATGCTGGGCTTTGATAGTCATTGCCTGCTAATGCGTTTTTTTCTTTAGCATTTGCAAAGATAGAGTACTTCACTGAAGTTATATTAAGATGGTGGAAGTCCAAATGTGCAGATATAAAATCAAATTGATTTTAAGATCAAATTGTCGTATTGCAAACATAATTTTTAGGAAAATGTGTTTTCAGATATGAATGGGGGAATGCATTTAACAGTTTATGCATTTATGTTTTGGTTTTGGTTTAGCCTCTTATGTAACATATAGGATACAGTAAGAATATTGAGCTTGAGATTTGAGGAGGCTAAACAAGGAGAAAAGACAGCTTTATTGTAATTTATTTTGTAAAAAATGTGTAATTCTGATTTGATGTAATACAATACTTTATATATATATACAGTTGAAGTCAGAATTATTAGCCCCCCTAAATTAGCGCCCCTGTTAATTTTTTTCCCCAATTTCTGTTCTGTTCTGTGAAGATTGTTTCAGCACATTTCTAATCGTAATAGCTTTAAAAACTGATTTCTAATAACTGATTTATTTTATCTTTTCCATGATGACAGTAAATAATATTTTACTAGATATTTTTCAAGACATTTCTATACAGCTTAAAGTGACATTTAAAGGCTTAACTAGGTTAATAAGGTAAACTAGGCAGGTTAGGGTAATTAGTCAAGTTATTGTATAACGATGGTTTGTTCTGTAGATTATCGAGAAAAAAAATGAGCTTAAAGGGGCTAATAATTTTGTCGCAAAAATGGTTTTAAAAAAATTTATAACTGCTTTTATTCTAGCCGAAATAAAACAAATAAGACTTTCTCCAGAAGAAAAAATATTATCAGACATACTGTGAAAATTTCATTGCTCTGTTAAAAATAATTTGGGAAATATTTAAAAGAGAAAATAAAAATCAAAAGGGGGCTAATAATTCTGACTTCAACTGTATATATATATATATATATATATATATATATATATATATATATATATATATATATATATATATATATATATATATATATGAGCAATTCCATGCAAATGTCAACCTTGCATGAAAAAAAATTCTGTTTTCACCAAAATATGGAAACTGAAAGTTTTTTTTTGTGTAGGCTTGTATTTTACAGTACTTTAGAAATACTTAAAAATGTATCTGTCAGTGTTTTCAAACTGTTATGTTTAATTTAGCAAAGTTACACAAGTGGCAATTTCACATCTGTCAAGTTTGGGTTGTGCAGTTTAATTCACAGAATTTCTACAAAGTATATTGTGTACTGTAAACTCCCTAACTTTTTTTGTCACATCCATAACGCCTCTTCATTTTACTTATTTAAAGTACAAAATATGTTCACAGATTGATGTTTTTCTGCTTCCATAACTCTGTGGTCAGTTGTTCTGAAAAATATAAACAGATGTTTCAATGTAATGTTAATATATACTTTCCATGTGAATTTATGTTTTGAGTTTTAACTGCAAATGTCACATCCTTAACACTGGAATTGCTCATATATATATATATATATATATATATATATATATATATATATATATATATATATATATATATATATATTTTTTTTTTTAGAACCAAACTGAGGAAAATATGCAGATTGTTTAATGTTGTAATTTATATGAATAAAAAGCGTGTAATTATGATTTCATTTCAAAGTCAAAGTCAGCTTTATTGTCAATTCAGCCACATGTACAAGACATATAGAGGATCTAAATTGCGTTACTCTCAGACCCAAGGTGCTTAACATTAATATTAAAAAAAAGAAAATTTACAGTAAATACATTGTACATTTAATGCAGTTCTTCAATTATTTTAGGACAAAACTTATGGAAAATGTGCAGGTTACTGTAACAAACTAAAATTGTGTAATTTATATTTTATGTAATGCAATTTTTGTATTATTTAGATATATTTTTATAGATATCTTACCATATTATATTTAGATATATTAGATATGTTATTTATTATAGACAAAATATAGGAGAAATATGCAGATTGCTTATTGTTGTAGTGATTGATAAAAAAGGCTGTAACTGATTTTATTTAAATCAATACTTTTTATTATTTAGGACTACACTGAGGAAATTTATGCAGATTGGTTAATGTTGTAATTTATACGATTAAAGTGTGCAATTCTGATTTCATGTAATGCAATTCTTCAATTTTGTTTAGGAAAAACCACATAGAAAATATGCAGATTGGTTAATGTTGTCATTTATAAGATTAAAAAGCTTGTAATTCTGATATTTTGTAATGCAAGTTTTCTATTATTTTAGGACAAAACATGGGGAAAACATGCAGATTGGTTAATGTTGTAAATTATATGATCAAAAAGGGCGTAATTCTGATTTTATGAATTGCATTTTATTCAAGCCCTAACTTACGAGAAACAATCTGGTGCAGATGATGTGGTTTATATGATCAAAAATTATGGCACGATAGCTTGTAATGTATTAAGAAGGTGAAAGTCTAAATGTGCTAATATAAAACCAAATTTACCTTGAATGGCATAGGTTACATCATTTTCAGGGAAATGTGTTTTCCGATTAGAATAGGGTATGCATTTACATTTTGGTTTAGGTTTTATGCACCATATATGATACAGTAAGAATATTGAGCTTGGAGGAGGAAAACAGCACCTACATTTTATTTGGGCTAAACAAAGGGAAAAGGCAGTTTTGTTGTAAAATTGTAATTCATATAATCAAAAGTGTGTCATTCTGTTTTCATACAGTTCAGTTTTTATATAATTTTAGGACAAAACTGAGCAAAAATAATCAAATTGTTTAATGTTGTAATGTATATGATCAAAAAGGGTGTTATTCTGATATTATGTAGTGCAACTATTCTATTATTTGGGACAAAACGTTAGAAAAATATACAGATTGGTTAATGTTGTAATGCATATAATCAAAAATGGTGTCATTCTGATATTATGTAATGCAATTCATCTATTTTCAGGACAAACAGAAAAAAAATTCAGATTGGTTAATGTTTTGATTTGTATGATCAAAAAAGTGCAATTCAGATTTCATGTAATGAAAGCCTTCTGTTTTTTCAGACCAAACCATATGGAAAATATGCAGGTTAATGTTGTATTTGATAAAAATGGTGTAGTTTTGATTTTAGGTAGTGCAATTCTTTCATTATTTTAGATAATCAAAATATAAATATAAATATAAAGATATAAATATAAAGATCAAAATATAGGAAAAATACGTAGATTAGTTAATGTTGAAATTTATATGATTTAATAGGATGTAATTCTGATTTAATATAATGCAATTCTCATCTCTAATTACTGATTTATTTTATCTTTGCCATGATGACAGTAAATAATATTTGACTAGATATTTTTCAAGACACTTCTAAACAGCTTTAGGTGACATTTAAAGGCTTAACTAGATTAATTAGGTTGACTAGGCAGGTTAGTATAATTAGGCAAGTCCTTGTATAAAGATGGTTTGTTCTGTAGACTATCAAAAAAAAATATATAACTTAATGGGGCTAATAATTTTGACCCTAAAATGGTGTTTAAAAAATTAAAAACTGCTTTTATTCCAGCCGAAATAAAACAAACAAGACTTTCTCCAGAAGAAAAAATATTATCAGACATACTGTGAAGATTTCCTTGCTCTGTTAAACATCATTTGGGAAATATTTAAAATAATAATTCAAAGGGGGGCTAATAATTCTGACTTCAACTGTATATTGCATCACCAAAAATGATTGAGGTGCTGTCCATGTGTTGTGCAATAAGTCCATATATTGATTATTGTGACAGACCCACTAATAACTCAAATTTTCCCTCTACCAGGTCCAGTTGTGGGACACGGCAGGCCAGGAGCGTTTCCGTAAGAGCATGGTGCAGCACTACTACCGCAACGTCCATGCTGTGGTGTTTGTCTATGACGTCACCAATGCCGCCAGCTTCCGAAGCCTCCCAGCGTGGATTGAAGAGTGTCGCCAACATGCACTCGGTCAGGAGGTGCCAAGAATCCTTGTCGGCAACAAATGCGACCTACGTCACGCCGCTCAAGTAAGCACAGATGTTGCACAGCAGTTTGCAGATACACACTCAATGCCTCTTTTTGAGACCTCGGCCAAAAACCCCTACGGGAATGAAGACGGCACTCAGAATAATAGTGACCACGTGGAGGCCATTTTTATGACAGTGGCGCACAAGCTGAAATCCCAAAAGCCGCTGGTTTTAAGCCAGCCACCTTGCGGATATGGAGATACTGTCACTCTTAGGAGGCAAGACCAGGAGGACGGGGGAAACTGGGGCTGCGGTTGTTGGAGAAGCTAATGAAGTGCACATTTAAGGGGAGAGATGCAGACATAAAGGCGCTTTTGTGTTATCTTTAAAGAAATACTCCACTTTTTTGAGAATATGCTCATTTTACTACTCCCCAAGAGTTAAACTGCTAAGTTTTACCATTTTTAAATCCATTCAGCTGATCTCCGGGTCTGGCGGGAGCGCTTTTAGCTTAGCTTAGCATAAATTATTGAATCAGATTAGACCATTAGCATCTCGCTCAAACATCATCAATGTTTAGATAATTTTCCTGGTTAAAGCTGTAGTAACAACATGTACTGAAACCAACCGCACATGAAGAGTTGCTATTTTTCTAGGCTGATATGTTGAGAGGCTACAATTAATTTTTTGTGTAATAATCAAGGAGCTTTGCTGCCTGCAGCTGGTGCAATGATATTACGATTTACCTGAGAATCCATTAATTTCCATCAATATAACCTAGCTAGAGATTATTTCAGGTAGTGTGTAATATCATTATGCTTTAAACTGTAATATAAATACAGTGTAATAAATAATACTGTCACAATAATACTGTGTAATATCAATATGCCACAGCCAATGTGCAGAAGTAAAGTTCTTTTATTATTACGCCGTAATAAATAGGCACTTTTTATTTTGTCAGTCATGCTACACGATGCAACTTCAGAAGAGTGGAGTATAAATAAGGAAAAAAATTTGTCATTTTTTATTGTGATGCTAATGGTCTAATCCGATTCAATGATTTATGCTAAGCTAAGCTAAAAATTCTCCCACCAGACCAGGAGATCAGCTGAATAGCCTCGAAAATGGTAAATCTCAGCTGTTTAACTCTTGAGGAGATGTAAAATCACCCTATTTCAGAAAAAAAGTGGAGTGTTCCTTTAAAGTAAGAGTCAGGGATGGAGGAAACGGGAACCTTTATGAACTTATTTTGTATCTTGACGTGCAGAATGTGGCCATTATTTTAAAGGGAAACGACTTAAGGAAAAGGTTTCCCCATCAATCATCCAGAGGTTTTTAAAACATAGGTGTCAAAATCAGTTCCTGGAGGGCCGCTGCTCTGCAGTTTTCAAATCAAACACAGCTGATCCAAATAATCAGGGCGTTCAAAAGAATCTTGAACAGCTTCAATAGTTAGATCAGCTCTGTTTGAGTAGGGTTGGAGAAAAACCGTGCAGAGCTGCGGCCCTACAGGAACTGACTTTGACACCTATGTTTAAACAGGTTGCATGTAAGCCAATGTACCTTACGTATACAAGCTTCAATCATTATGCCTAGTTCATATGCCACTGCCAAACACGTTCACTACATTTTCCCCACCTGATATAGACAGCTATGCAGTTTCATTGGAGGGTGAAAATGTCAACAAAAAAATTCCTTGCCAAAAAAACAAACAATCTGTGTTGCTTTTCGACCAGATCTGGTTGAGTCTGTGTTTGCTCTTCCCCACACACACATGCAAGCACTTGAAAGAAGCTGTCTCAAGGGAAAATAAGGCAAGATAGAAAACACATTAAATGCAGGTTATTTTTCACTGCTGCTAGCAGGCTTTAGAAGAATTTAAATGTAAAATAAAGCCTTTGTTGGAAGATAATATGTCTTAAAACCAGTCTTAGTCCACTGCCAGTGTTTTATTTATTGCCAGTTTATTCATTCATCTGAATAAATTTACTGTATACGGACATCTGGGTTATGCATGTTATCCAATCTTTCCTCCAGTTCAGAACTTCTGATGTGATTAATAAATATAGCTAGATAAGAAGAGGAATACGCTAACAATATTTACTGCAGTGTCTACAGTAAGAGTTGGTATGTACTGTAGTAATGAAAACATGTACTGTATAATCACAGATTAGTACGAGTACCTCATATTATTCAAGATATCTGCTCTGTGCATGGCATTGATCAGAACAAATCAATCTATATTTCAGTCTTCATCTATTATTACAAATATAGACACTTGCTAATGACAGTTTAGTTTTTCCCTTTGGCCATTTTTTACGTCCCTCACTTGAGTTATTAGAGCGAATATTCACTCATGTGTTTAATGTAACCACAGCAGGTCCTGTGGGGTGCACGACAGAAACTCAGGCATGACATGCTTTGTTTTTAATGCAGAATTGCCAAAAAGAGACTACCTTTCTGCAGATTTCAGTTGCAACCCTGACCAAACACACCTGTTTGTAATTATCAAGTGCTGCTTTAGGTACTATTAATTGGTTCAGGTGTGTTGAATCAGGGTTGGGACTGAATTCTGCAGGAAGGCTCTCCAGGAACAGGGCTGGTGACCCCTGCATTAGGGTAACTAGGGGAGCATGTGATTGGTTGAGGAATCATGCATGGTTAGTGACGGCTCCGAGATATTCAAATGTAAAGTGTTGAATGCATACTAACAAAACTTGCTTATTTGAGCTTAACGTTACTTGGGTGCTTAAGGAAAGTCTCTTATGTGTCCTTCAGAAATATGAAGAGCTTTGTTGGTTAATCAGACCCTCTAGTTTTTAACGTTTTTTTTTTTTTTTTTGTTTGCTGATTTTCGACTATTTTTCTGCTGGTAATTCCCAGATATTTGTGGATAATTTTGCGATTTAAAAATAATAACAATAATTATATATACTGTAGAAGTCAGAATTATTAGCCCCCTGAATTATTAGCCCTCCTGATTATTTTTTTTTTCCTCCAGTTTCTGTTTAACAGAAGGAAGTTTTTTCAACACATTTTTAAACATAATAGTTTTAATAACTCATTTCTAATAACTGATTTATTTTATCTTTGTCATGATGACAGTAAATAATAGTTGACTAGATGTTTTTCAAGACACTTCTATACAGCTTAAAGTGACAATTTAAAAGGTTTAACTAGGTTAATTAGGGTAACTGGGCAGGTTAGGGTAATTAGACAAGTTATTGTATAGTGATGGTTTGTTCTGAAGACTATTGAAAAAATATATAACTTAAGGGGCCTAATAATTTTAACCTTAAAATATTTTTAAAAAAAATACAAACTTCTTTTATTCTGGCCGAATTAAAACAAATAAAACTTTCTCCAGAAGAAAAAAAATATTATCAGGCATACTGTGCAAGGCTCGAAATTAACTTTTTTACTTTGTAGCACCAGGGCTCCCAACTTCAAATATTTAGGAGCACCAGAAAAAATTTAGGAGCACCACCAAAAATAAATGTGCACCATTGCAAATGGTATTTTAAGGGATTTATTGTATTTTAAAACAACATCAATTTGGACTAACAAAACAACAGAAACAACTATCTAACTAATGCTGTGATGACTTAATATTTGTGCAATAATTTTGTACAATCTAAAATGTACGTCTAATAATTATAGAATAATAATGATGATGAAAATAACAATAATACTAACAATGAATTACATTTCTCATCATTACGCTGCCTTAAATGTGCTTGAATGCGAGTTATCTGCTGTTAAAGTCTGTTACTTTATGAAAAAATTATTTATGGTTTGCATCAAACAAAAAATAAAGCATTGCAGTAAGAAATATTTATTTTGCACTATTGTTTTTATATGCATGTCAATTTAATAAATAATATTTCTGCTACAAAACAAATGAAAGACTATAATAAATCATTTAGTTCACTGCTGGAAGCTGCAAAGCAGTCATCAGTAATTAAATAGAAAAATAATATACACCTCAAGACAGAATAGAAAGTAATAAAGTCTCACTTTTATCACTCTTTAAGCGTTTTGGTTTCAGTTTGTGTCTTTTAAATGCTCAGTCTCGTTATGAGCTGATCCTTATTTTTCTGTGTTTGTGGGAAATCAGGCGAGTCAGCCGACCCAATGTATGAGCAGGCAGAGCAGGATTCTCGCGATGACCACCAGCGCATTACCGCACTTTGTTGTAAACCGCAGTTTCAGTGTAAACTTAGTAAAGACGAGCTTCTTTGGCGATGATATGTACAATATTAGATTTTACATTTAGCGGATATTAGCGCTGAACATGCAGTGAATGCAACGCATTGAGAATTGGCACCTTCTTCGAAAACTCTCGATTGATCTCAGCTGGCGGATCAACATTCACCACATGTCATGATCGCTCTCATCTGCGCCTCAACTTTAGGTGGGGTTTGCAAACCTGTGCCGTTTGCATTTCCCGCGGTTATTAAAGCTCCCTCCCTGTCATCCAACAGCGGAATGCCTTGAGTGATTGACAGCTAATATGAACCAATACAGCGGCAGGGAAGAGCGATTCAGCACGTTTTTAGAAAAAATCAAAACAGGTCGCACTACAGCCATTATATGCAGTCGCACAAATGCTCCCAAATTATGCTCCCAATATTATGAGGTCGCATAGATTAATTTTCAGGCGCATATGTGACCAAAACGGTGGCAATTTTGAGCCCTGCTGTGAAAATTTCCTGAATCTGTTAAACATCATTTGGGAAATATTAAAAAAAGCAAAAAAAAACAAAAACAAAGGGGGGGCTAATAATTCTGACTTTAACTGTGTGTATGTATGTGTGTGTATATATATATATATATATATATATGTATGTATATATATATATATATATGTATGTATATATGTATGTATGTATATTGTATGTATGTATATAAATATATATATATATATATATATATATATATATATATATATATATATATATATATATATATATATATATATAAATATATAGCCCACTATGTTAGGTGTGGAGTCTGACACATGACAATGACACAACTTTTTTGGTCTATATCTAAAACGGTAGGGATTAGGCCACATTTTGTTTGTTCAAAGGCTCGTACAAACCGGGACGCTTTCCGTTTGTGTTTATCGTTAGCGTTTTTCGAGATATTTTTTCGGGTTTCAAACCCAGTCGATTTTCACTGCCGTCGAGTACAAGAGTGCAAAATCACTCCATGACGTTACATTGCGCTACACAACTTTAAGCTTCTGACATCTGCTTGTACCACAGAAGAAGACAAAGTTGACACACCTGGCGTTTTGCGCGTTGGTGTGCACCACCCTTTGTTTAGTCACGAGGTGTTAAACGTCAACGGAAAACACGAGCAAAAAGTGTCTCGGTGTGAACGGGTCTTTAAACACCTCGTATAAAGGGCACCAATGTGATTGTTTACACCAACGCGCAAAAGCATCCTTTTTAAAGAAAAGCCTCACGCTTGTTTTTGTTAATCAGGTTGGCAGTTTTGCTCACGTGCACGGAGCTGTTGAAGTTACAGTAAACGGCACTTAGAGGCGCTGGAGTGCAAAACTGTCAATGCGAGCGCAAATTAAAGAAGATGCCCAGAGACGGTATGAACGTGGAGCTGCTTATTGCACTGGTGAACAAAAATCATTTCTTCATCAATAGAGCTGGTAGGTGCTACTTGAGCCATCCATGCTTGTTCGAATCGCCTGTAACTTTAACAACAAGCATGTCAACTTTCTTCCGTGTTACAAGCAGGTGTCAGAAGCTTAAAGTTGTGAAGCGCCATCTAATGTCAAGGAGTGATTTTGCATTCTTTTCTGCTCGACTTTAAAATCGTTTGGGTTTAAATCTGAAAAACATCTCAAAACGGTGACTATAAACGCAAACAAAAAGTGTGCCGCTGTGTACGAGCCTTTACTTTTATCCACGATCTCACATTCTCTGTCTTCACTCCCCAGAGCACCTGACATCACATTAGAGCTTCCTCTACCATTGATATATTTCTTTATTTAACCAGATATAAAAAAAACCCTTTGAGATCAGGATCTTATTTACAAGGGTGACCTGGCCAAGAGGTCCGCAACACACGACTTAAGAAATAATAATAATAATATTATTAATAAATAGAAAATTTGTTAATAAAAACACAGTTTATTGTTCAGCTATACCACATTAAAATATATTAAAACCTGGACTGTTGTTGTTTGTTAAAAAGGATAGAGCGAAATGATGTAATTAGTAGCTCAGACACTTTTAGTTCAGACTGAAGAGTATTCCAAGATACACCCACAACACGGATTGCTGTAAATCTTGTTAATGCCAGGGAATCGTCATAGGGAGAGTTAAATGAAAACGTTTATTGATTTGAAACGTATATTGATTCACACCATAATACCAGCCATACACGTAAAACAAAAACAATGTCCTTCAATTTGGTCACGTCCAGCAGTCGTCATCCTTGAACCGATCTCCATCATTGAAAACTGCTTTTCTGTTTGTTCCACTGCTCCGCTTGCTAGATGTTTGCTCACTTTCTTTTGCAGTCTGAAGCGCATCGAATGCACGAAACGCCCAATTCCTGCCACAGGATGTCTAATCGCATCTTTGCATTGACTTCACATGTAAATCACCTGCGCTTCATCCGCCTCTGTTTACTGCACTGGCTGCAAAACAATTCCCCCCACTCTCATGTAATGTAATGACTGTGAGCGCACGGGTATCATTTTTCAGATACATCACATGCGCTGCGTATGCAACGTCTATATTTAAAACAATTCATTGCATACTGAAATAAATCCAATTTGATTATATGGTTTGGAATTGGATGTTTTATGAGATTATTTACATTTTTGCTATTTATTTTGCCTTTATATTCACAAATTTTTGTTGATTTTTTATTTTTTTTTGTTGGATTCAACAATCATG